AGCATAACATGCCAGTAAACACTGTTTACAGTGATCTTCTTATAGCAGTTTAATATACTGAAAAAGCCCTCATTATGGTACTCAACTACTTAATCTGCACAGGCATGTGCTCAGTATGCTTGTGATTAAACACTTCCACTTAGGTTACATTCTATTTTAAGGGCTTTCAAGAATTTTGCAACTGTACTTCAACCTAAGGTCAGACTTGTACAGCCAAAACATCTCAAGAACAGTGTGCTAGAAGATTGTGCAATTTAAGGAAAGAGTTCTTCCATATAGTAAGATAAACTATACTCCAGATAGATGCAATAGACATACAGGGGATGTCCCATCCCTTCACCTCCCTTTCCTAATACTACCTTTTATCAGAAGTTACAGCACACTATGGGGTTTTTTGTTGTCATTTGGGGTTTTTAAGGTAATGTAGAAGGACAGAAAAAAAAAGACTATGCCATTACTATATATAAAGGCATAGCAGAGTGACACACAGCATGGGGAAGGGTAGAACATGGAAGTAACGAATGGCACTGTGACAGCAATTGTCACGTTAGCACCATGTGTAATCTGTGTTTCATTAGGCACAGACGAGCTCATCAACATCCTCCTCTGCACATTTGATCATACTACAATGCAAGTTCAAAGAGATCCTAAAAATCAGTGGCTCCTCAAATCTTGATAACGGCAGTAAAGAAACAGTAACCAGAAATGTTGCTCAGCAGGTTCTCATTGCCAACAGCAATGGAAGCAAAGACAAAACTGTTAATCCTATATTTATAAACCTTACAGGGAACACATGCTTGTTCTCACACAGGTATCAAACATCAAGAAGAAACTACTAGGCCATTGCTTATCAGTGAAAATGTGTGTTCCACAGTAAATTTATTACCATTTGGTCCACTCAAGAATACCTCAAATAACCAGGCTTCCATATTTCCCCAGGGGGTCATTTTGTATCTGGTAGCTCTCACAGGCCAGAGGTCGTCCTAGTAAGTGCAGCTCCATCCCTGCACTCTGTTATCACACTATTTTTTACTTATCTCTTAAAAAGCAATTATGCTCCCACCTCTGTATGGGCAAGCCCAAAGCTTCCATCAATTATCAAGGCTTGCTACCACGTCTAGAATTACCACTCTTAACATTTCTCAAACTTAATTTGGGAAGAGAAATCAATGAAGAAGATTCTCTCCCAAGAGAATGTTAATGCCGTCGTCTTCTACGGTATGAATTACAGGAAATTAAGGCAGCATTATATTGGTGTCAGCCAAAATTAAGCTATTTCAGAAGATTAGGTGGATTTCACTAAGAGAACTGTTGATATTCCCTGTCTAGACAATTGCGAAAAACCATTTTGTGCTGACATAACCCACTGAGGAGAATGAAGAGGATAAAAATATCCTGCATCAGCATACCAGGGACTTTAAAGCATAAAAATTCGCTAGAAGCAAAACAAAGCCTGAACAAAACAAAACAACCAACAAAAAAAAAAAGTGTTTGTTACTGTCAGAGCCACAACCCACTACATCATATTATATTTTCTTTGCTTGAGATGCAGTAAAAATTTCTTGCAAAAAGTCCTACTGAAACAGCATCACTGTTACCATTTTGGCTGGCAAGTGCTAATGAGATCAGCACTCCATAAAGTGTGCACAGCTACAGTCTTGATAGCCCTCTGCACTCTGCATAAATTGCCTAAATGTTAGCTGAGCTTGCACAGAGTCAAGACTCTCAGTAACCTCTCAAGATTGCCATTTTCTTTGCTTCTCCATCAAAAGACTCGGTTGACGTGTAACAGCTGTCCAGGCTACTAGCTAGCTGAAAAGTAAAACTGACACAGTGAGATGGGCTCTCCCTGAAGACAGCAAAGATGCTGTGAAATAGGGAGTTACTGCTTTGTTTACCTGTCTCCCTGTCAATCAAGTCATGAAATATTTTCCATGAAGATGGCAGCAAAGGGAAAGTGGCATTCCAACTGGCTTCTAAACAACTCTGCTATAGCTGAAGCCACCACAATCACGGTGCAGATCAAGAGAGGACAGAAGTCAAAGGGAAAAAGAAAGAAAAGGTGGCATATACAACAAAAAAAGCATCAAAAGAAGGCTTGAAATAAGGGAAACATTTGTAGATGTGGAAGAAAAGCAGATCTCCCACAATGTAAGTTACTGAAGCCAAAACTAGCAAGTTGGGGGGCAGGGGATACGTGGAAGAAGAGGACTGGGGTATTTATAGAACTATAAAGAGCTCAAAAAAAAAAAACCCAAAACAGGAAAAGAAATCCCAAATGATACAAAATTCTGTATTTTAAGATTTAAATCTCACTCTCCAAATACTATCAAAGGTTAAGATGGGACCTGATACAAGAATACACAAGAGGTACCTACTGCATGGCACTTTTGCAGCTCTCTGAAGCAGCCAGTAGCAGTAGTCACTGTCAGAAAGAAAACTAAGATGACAGTAGATACAACAATTCCTGTTAAAATGAGAGTTCGGGCAAACAAGTGCTGGAAGCCCATGAACTGCCCGACACTTGAGGTCTCTGGACCAGTCATGCTGCTGAGGGCCCATTTAACAATGAAACTGGCAAAGAATTAAATATGTAGCTGATGCAGCAGTAGCTGAATCTATGAGAATTGGTTCTGAGTGAAGGAATTCTACCTTTGAGTCTTTGTTTGCAGTCAGCAGGCTGCAGAGTAGAACAGAGCTTTTCCAGGTGCTCACTCTCTGCGCAGTGCATGACAAAGAAGAGCCTCCAAAGCATGTTGCTGGATAAGGTTCCGTAAGGCATCTCCGACATGAACAACCAGACTCCTAACCTGTTGGATTTGAAGAGACAGATAGAAACAGTTTCACCCTGATAAATCCCAAAACTTGATAAGGAGACATACGCCCACATCTCTGCCATATAACAGAATTCAGAATGTGAGGATGTGCCTTAGCATCTCAAATTCTGAGTTAACCTCATTCTGAACTGAGCAGAGCTTCTGCCAGATGCTAGAGTTCAAGGCATAATTGCTCCCCATCTTGGTGCTACCAATGTGCTGAAAAATCCTGCATATTGCAGTTCTGTTTAAACCATTAAGTATTTAAAGCTACTCCAAATCCCAGTTTCAAATATTTAACTCCTCCAAGATGAAGCCAGTATTAATCATGGGACAGCCTACCTTTTTGCCTTCAGAACATGTAGAATAGCTCTAAAAAATAACTCATCAAACTCCAGTTGCAATTTTTCCACAGAGTAGAGATGTGCTACTGATCCATATTGTCTATTGCCACTAACGTATTGGGCCCAGTGGTCACTCACATGACAAAGTGTCATCCTACACAGTAGAACAAACAAGTCAAAGGAGGATCATTAAATCTGTCATCACCATATAAAAACACAGACAATTGCAACTAGATCAGAGTCTAGTCACAAGAGATATGTTCAACTCTTTGTTCTCTGGTTTCCAGAGATTTCCACATAAATAGCATTTTCATCCCCTCTCAGACAGGTTAGTCTAAAATCACTATGTTATCCTTCCTCGGTTTTGCAAGCAAACAATGCATAATATTCTGTTATACCAAAGTAGTTTGTGTATGAACTTTGGAGCCTTAAGGTAAGCCTACATGATGAAATGGCACTACATGCAAAAAGCACAAACACGAATAATTATACTGAGAAAGTTACTGCTCTAATAGCACAATGAAAAACATGGATTTTGTTTCTGATTTAAGTGTATCCCCACCACCACCCCCGAAAACACACTCATACAAGCCATATAAAGTGACTACTAGATATTTAAAAATAAAGTGCAACTTTTAGGTTTCAATTACACTTGCTTACAGCAACAATATGATGATTTTTGAAGAGAAAATTAAAAACCCTAAAACAATTCTGTGTATCAAGGGAAAGAAAGCAGTAGCACTGGTTATAAATAGGGGTGATTCAAGAAACTGCTGGATTTCAGTGACTTTCCAAGACAAACCTAAGCACATCCCTGATGGAAGTCAGCCTGGTATTCCACAGCTCACCCGGCTCCTTTGTACCCACAGCATTCAGACTCTGGAATTTCCCACTTCACAGGCAGGTTTAGAGTCAAGGACTCCGGGATTTCAGATTCCCAGGTCAAACAACCCTAAAAAGACTAACTCTCAGAGCAAAATCTACCCAAGAACTGTTTAGGGTTTTTTTGTTTATTTGTTTTGCTTGGTGGGGTTTGATTTTATTTGTTTGTTTGGTGGTTCGTTATGTTTTGGTTTTTCAGGTTTGGTTGTTTGGGTTTTTTTAGCAGCTCCAAACTTTAAATCAAACTGAATGAAAAAGATTTAATCATATCACAGAGAAGATATTGTCTTACTTGATCAGTTGACCAATTCGCTTCACAAACTGTCGGTACCGTGCTCTGTTAAATGTTTCTAACCCCACAGACAGAAGTTCCACTAAGGAGTTTGCAAAAGCAAAAGTCTTCATCATCTCCTGGGGAGTTGTTTTTTCAGGAAAGTAAGCACCTAACACCAAGAAAAAAAAAGAAAGACGTCTCAAAAAAATGAGTGAATCTGGATTTTTAAAGTAACTTAACAAGCACTCAAAGCAACAGTTCACCATACAGCTGGCAAACAGTTCACTGTTACAGTGAACAGAAATTTATGTTTTGTTTATGAAATGAACAATAACTACCTGTTAAGTATGAAAGTACAAAAAAACTATGCAGTTAAAACATCTAGCAAGCAATTATCTTCATGTACTTGTCCAGGGATTTAGCAAAATACAGAATGAACAAAGAACTAGAGAAAAAAAAAAATCACAGTAACATTACAGCTAAGAGGCAAATGGGAAAATCTAGTTCTGAAAGCACAACTGGGAGTATAACTACAGAGCAGATCAAAACTAAGGAAAAGGACTCCAACGCTTTGCATGCTAGTATTGCTGTAAGTTTTTAAGTTATGCCATACACATGGCATATGCTTTCACCTCACCTACTCAGTCTGTAAGCCATTGCACAGGTTCATTGTTACTTTACTCAGAGACTCTTATAATGCAGTAGCATTCTTCCCAGTTTTTGGCGTTAATAGAATTAGCATAAGCAAAATGAAGAATAACTCTTTAGCAGCTGATTTACCTCCAGACTTAAACCCAAGGAAGTGCTGAAAGATTTCATGAAATGGAAACTGTGACAACAGGGCAATCAAGTCATCTTCCAAAAGCAGAATCCAGCTTGTTTCGGGATCCTCATCCTATAGACAAATACGGGCGCTTTTAGTAGCTTTACAATAAAATGCATGGTAGAAGACCTTCATTATTGCACTAATTGAAGTTTGCCTCTAAGGGGAGAACAAAGTGCAAACTCTCCTCCACTCACACACCCCCTTATAAATTCCTCTTCTGTCTCTGTTTCTACACAAAAGCCCTCAGCTAGGAAACAGAACTACAGGCAACGCTACATTAATCTAACCAGCTTCTGAAGGGAAGCACCTATTAGTCAAACTTATGCCAACTTTCA